GATGTCTGAAGATGTTTGCAGATGTCTGAAGATGTTTGCAGATGTCTGAAGATGTTTGCAGATGTCTGAAGATGTTTGCAGATGTCTGAAGATGTTTACAGATGTCTGAAGATGTTTGCAGATGTCTGAAGACGTTTGCAGATGTGTGAAGATGTTTGCAGATGTCTGAAGATGTTTGCAGATGTGTGAAGATGTTTGCAGATGTCTGAAGATGTTTGCAGACGTCTGCAGATGTTTGCAGACGTCTGCAGATGTTTGCAGACGTCTGCAGATGTTTGCAGACGTCTGCAGTTGTTTGCAGACRTCTGCTGTTGTTTGCTAATGTTTGCAGATGTCTGCAGATAAAAATCATCTCTTACTTTAGAGAGCGGCGTCAGGTTCAGTCCTGAGCTGGTAGCTTTCTCCTCATCTGATGAGACTTCTATAACGTTGTCTGATGAATCCACCACCTCCACTACCTCCACCACGTCATCATCATCATCATCATCGATCTGCTCTGCTGTTGGTGCAGAAAGAAAGAAGAATGTTGGTCGTTTGAAGCTTTAAGACTGAGGACTACAAGAGGAGGAGAGGTTCTGTTCAGACCTGATGATGGAGCGAGTAACGACATGTATTCATCCCTCTTCCTGTTCAGCATCCTCTTCTTCCTCTTCAGAGCTTGCTCGTGACGCAGCAGCTTCTGGATCAGCTCGGTGGCCTGCAACAAACCACAACCTGTGTTCACCCTGGGACCATGGACCTGACTGATCTTGTCTCAGTGCTGGTTCCTGACCTTCATCAGGGTGGACTGCTTGGACATGTCGGTGTGCCCCACCTCCTTTTTGAGGAGGCTGAACCTCTGCTGCAGCTGGCTGCGGCGCTGCTTCTCCAGCATGTTGTGAGTGAGGCGCTGCAGTGTAAACACAAACACAAACATGTTTACATTGTGACGACAAGACGAGGTGTTTGTGTTTCCTGTTTAATGCGTACGTACGTTTATCTCATCAGYAGTTTGTTCCAGAGAAGTTTCCTGGTCCTCGTCCTGAAAACAGATTTATCATCAGTTTTCTTCTAAACGTAAATTCTGTTCTGAATGAATGGAGCGATTCGAGCCTCACGCTGCTGTCGGCGTGCAGCTTCTCCTCCTCGCTGTCCGACTCCCTGAAGTCCGACGAGTTCTCCGTGTCGCTGCTCGACATCAGCTCCACCACTTCGGTCGCTCGCTTCTGCGGCAGAAAAAGCCCCGCCTCCTCATCCACGCTGATGATGTCCAGATCCGTCCGGTCGCGGGCCAGCTCCTGGTTCGATTCCTGGCTCAGGGGGCGGGTATCTGCAGGGGGCGGGTGGGGTTTTGTTTTTATGAGCCGGAACTCTTTGATCTCAGGACTGGATGTTACAGAGGCGGGTTTGGACTCTAGAGTCTCRGAGGGTTTGGCGTTGCTTAGGTTCAGGGGGGTCACGAGGGGGTCGGGTGGAGCTGTCGCCGCCTGAGTGGGGGGTGGGGCAACAAAGGCGGGGTCTTTGTCRGAGCTGAGGGGTTTGGCGGTGCAGGGACGTTGGTTAGAAACTGAAATAGGCTGCAGGGGGGCGGGGGCAGCAGGGGGGACCTCAGAAGATGCCGCTGGAAATGACGATGAAGATAAAGATGAGGAGGAGGGGTGGGGAACGGTCAGCGGGGTCACCACAGCTGGTTTCAGAAAGGATGAAGAKGGGAGGACTGAGGAGGAGGAGGAGACAGAAAACATATGAGTTAAACAACGTCCTGCTCAGGCAGCAAGTCTGACCCACCTGTCCCTCAGGTGCGACCCCTCACCTGTCTGCGTCGGCGCCATTGTTGGCACAGGTTTCACGTGCCTGATGGGAATCAGCTGCACCAGCTTCCCGTCCGGCCGGCGGTAATACTGAGTCCCCGCCACGGGCTGGATCTGATGCAGGATTATCCTCTGACCTGTGGACGACTGCACCGGCAGCACCTGGGGCAGTTGTGACAGAGAGATGGTCTTCAGAGGCCCCGGGGCTTGAATCAACATCACCTGGGAGGTTTTGGGAGGAGCCAAGACTGGAGACAGGGCTGGAGAGACAACCGCCGAGGTTTTGGGCATAGAGTCTAAAAAACACAATAAAACAAGATGTAAATGAGTAGAAACAGACGATAAATATTTAAGACTCRGGTGGGTTTGCTCACCTGGAGGTGGGCTCATATAACCAACGCGATATATGGAAATATTTTAACTAATGCGAAATATCAAGATATTGTAACAATGCAATATATCAAGATATTGTAACCAAGGTGATAGGTACGTGGCTGTACTGTGTGAGGGTTTACCTGGACCAGGTGATCTGTTCCTCCTGGTTGTTTGGCTGAGAGGACGTCTGCTGGAGACACTTCCTTCAGGCGAGTCAGACCGACGTCATCGTTCTTCTTGTCTGGTTTACCATCCTCTGAGTTACTCTCCTTCACCTGTCCTTCCTCCTCCTCCTCATCACCACTCTCCTCTATTTCTTTCTGCCAGTCCTCCACTGGATCCAGTTTCATCACCTCCTTCTGATGGTCCTCCACTGGATCCAGTTTCATCACCTCCTTCTGATGGTCCTCCACTGGATCCAGTTTCTTCACCTCCTTCTGATGGTCCTCCACTGGGTCCAGTTTCTTCACCTCCTTCTGATGGTCCTCCACTGGGTCCAGTTTCTTCACCTCCTTCTGATGGTCCTCCACTGGATCCAGTTTCTTCACCTCCTTCTGATGGTCCTCCACTGGATCCAGTTTCTTCTCCTCCTTCTGCAAGTCCTCTACTTGATTCAGTTTCTTCACCTTCTTCTGCTGGTCTTTCCCTGGATCTAGCTTTTTCCTCACCTTCTTCTGCCGGTCCTCCACCTGAACCAGCTTTTTCTTCAGCTGCTTTTGCCAGTGTTCCAGTAAATCCAGCTTTTTCTTCACCTCCTTCTGCCAGTCCTCTGAAGGTTCTTCCTCCTCTATCACCTCCTTCTGCCAGTCCTCCAGAGGGACAGTCCCCGTCTCCTCCAACACGCCGTTCAGCCAGCCCTCCTCAGACTCTGTCTCATCTTGCTGCTGGTCCTCTGAAGGTTCTGCCTTGTCCTCCAACCAGTCATTAGGAGGCTCCACGTCACTGGGAACCCATTTTAATTGGTTGTACTGAAAGACAAAATGTTTGAGATGAGACCTGAGAGACGTGTCCTCCCCTCCTTCCTGTTGTCATGTCTCAAATAATATGTCACTTCCTGTTTACCGGATTCTGTTGAGCTTCTGCTGTGACGTTTCTCTGCTTTCCCGGTGTTGTGGGTTTGACCGGTCCCAGAGCTTTGGCCAGGCCCGGCGTGGTTATCTGGACTCTGTACTGGATGCACCTGCTGGTACCCCTCCCCTCCACGGTTTCATCAATGGGACTGATGAGGTAGTGCCGGATCCAGAACTGTTTGGTCAGTTGCTCCCGGGCCATGGTGTTGACCAACTTCTTCACGACAAAGGTGCGGTCGTCGTCACTCTCCCACCTGCAGTCAGCCTTGATGAGGAGACGCTTCATAGGTTTGGACCTGGCCGGAGGCTTTTTAGCTGCTGAGGAGACAGGAGACAGAAGACAGGAAATGGCTCCATCAGTCCGAGGACCAGAACCAGGAACAGGTTTCCAGAGCAGATGTGTGGATTCTGGACCTACCAAGAGGAGGACTGGGTGTCCTAGGTTTTGGTCCCGGCTGAATCTGAACTCCAGCAGCTCTACGTGTGATTCGAATCGCGTCCTTTAACGGCGCCTAGAAGATAAATGGGAGGAGTTCAAATCAGCTAAAAGAACTTACTGATGTTTGAAATAAGTTTTCAGATAATTCTTTTTTTTTTCTGTACATTTTGTTACAATCTTCTGCAACCTTTAATTTATTTAGCTGTTTATCAAAACATTCAGCTGATTCAGGACATTCGGCTGCTGTAACTTTTATATTTTACAACGTATTTGTACAAAGTTTCTGTCTTCTTATGCAACCTTATGTTTTTAGCTTCCGTTCTACTATTTTCAGCTTTTTGATACTTTTCACTTTTAGCTGATATTTAGCTACTTTAGCTAACTGTTCTGCTACTTTGAGCTTTTAGTTAATTAAAATTCTGTTACTTTAAACTTTCATCTAGCCTTTTGCTACTTTTGGCTTTAGCTTTTTGCTTCTTTTAGCCTTCACCTTGCCTTTTTCTAGTTTTGGCATTTAGCTGCTTTCACATTGACTTTTTGCTAGGCATTTTCTACTTTTGGCTTTTAGCTTGGCTTTTGCCACTTTTAGCTTTTAGTTAGCTTTTTGCTATTTTTTGGATTTTAGTTAGCTTTTTGCCACTTTTGGCTTTTAGTTAGCTTTTTGCTATTTTTTGGATTTTAGTTAGCTTTTTGCTACATGCATCGTTTGATCATCCTTTTAATAATTTTGATGAGACCTTTGCTACTTTTGCTACATTTAGAGTTTAGCTACATTTAGAAGTTGTTGCTCAGCTACTTTTAACCAGATTTTTTAAACTGTTTAAAAGCTTTTCCAAACTTTTAGTTTTTGACTATTTTGTTATTTTTTCTATTTTTAACATTTAGCTATAAGTTTGCTATATTTAGCACTCTTTTGCTGCTTTTAGAGTTCAGCTAACATTTTGATAACTGTAGTTTTTAGCTAGTGATTACTAAATTTTAGCTACTTCAATGCTACTCTTAGGCAGCCTTTTCTTTTAAAGTTTGAACAACTTTTCATGACATTTAGAAAATGTTTGGCTCCTTCAAAGTTAAAYATCTTTAGCTTTTTCAGTAAATTTTAGCTCATTTTACAGCTGCTGTTTGTTTAGGTAAAACATCTTTTTATTTCCAAATGAAAACAAATAGTTTTAAAGTAAAGAATCAGTGTAGAAATCTTCTACCTTCCGTTTCTGAGCCTTTCTCCGGAAGCTTCGGGTTCTGGCGCAGCCGCTGTTCAGATTTCGGCTGACCTGGAACAAAAGCAGAAAGCCTTCAGCTCACAGCCGACTCCTCCAGTTTTTCTGTTACGTTTGTAATTTTCTCACAACAGGGAGGGACTCGGGGGCCGTATTGGCGATGAAGACCGGCTCTGGATCTGAGTCTCCAAGGGACCTCGTCCACAGAGTCCGGACTCGCTCGGCGGGCAGGGCCACAGTTTCTGCCTCCTTCAGGACTAAAAGAGGAACAAGGTTTATTTTTAAAAGAATAAAGTTGATTTTTTTTTTCTGGTTGGATGACGAGAGAGGAACAGAGAGCTCACCGTAGGCCATCTTCATCCTCCTCTTCTTCTTCTTCTTCTTCTTCTTGACTCTGCCGTGGTGCGGGGTGGGGCTGGAGTCGGAGCTGTCCAGGTTCTTGAGCAGGACCACCTTCTGCTTGAGGCAGCTGCAGCCGAACATGCAGGCGGGCCGGCCGCAGTGGCTGGCCCTGGAGCTGCGGGACAGGCTGGCACAGATGCAGCCGAGCCTGCAGAACTCGTTCAGGCAGGGGAACCTTCGCCTGCACTTCAGCTGGATCGGGGCGGTGGGGTTCTCGCTCACGAAACCCTGCAGGGGGGAGAAAGAGCAGCTGAAAGAAAGGTCTGAGCCGGCGAGCAGAACCTGGGTCAGAGTTCTTACGGTCTGAGTGAAGAGCGAYGTCAGCGCGATGGCGGCTCTCTCCTCCGTGACGGTGGTTCGGAAACGACCCTCCAATGCCACGCAGTCCTCCAGGTCCTTCTGTCTCAGCAGGGCCCGGGTTATGCTGGGTCTGCTTTCCTTCTTGGAGGACTCCTCGGTCGGATCGGGCGTCGGTGCCAGCTCAGAGTCCGACTCCACCGGAGCCAGACCCTTGAACTCTTCGGGCAGCGGGACCACAGTCTTGGAAGGACTAAGGGTCCGGGATAAGGTGGTGGGCTTTCTTTTCCTTTTAAAAGTGGGCGGGATCTTAGGTTGTGTGGTCTTGATGAGCGGGTCTGAGGTCTTGTTGAGCGGATCCGGAGTCAGTACCGCAGGCAGCTTGGGTGCACCTAGACTGGACTCAGGTATCGAAAGAGCCGGACTGGTTTTGTTTGGATCCTTTGACCCCTGAGTCCAAGGAGCCNGACTGGTTTTGTTTGGATCCTTTGACCCCTGAGTCCAAGGAGCCAGACTGGTTTTGTTTGGATCCTTTGACCCCTGAGTCCAAGGAGCCAGACTGATTTTGTTTGGATCCTTTGACCCCGGAGTCCAAGGAGCCGGACTGGTTTTGTTTGGTTTTGGGCCCTTCAGCTTCCTCTCCATCTTCCGGCTTGTTTTGATCTTTGTGGGTCGGGGTCTCTTCGATGGGGGGATGAACCCAGAKATGAGGTCCAGGGCAGGCGGTCCAGGACTCTGCTTCTTCAGGATGTGGTCCAGGGTCCGGACGTAGCTGGTGCTGCTCGCCGGGAGCTTGAAGACCGGCGGTTCCACCGATGGCTGGGCGAAGCTGGCGGCCCGCTCGTCGATCAGCTTCGCCTCGTTCTCCAGGTACTCGTCCAACATGTCGCTGCAGAACGCCGACAGGTTCTTCTTCGGCGGGTCGGAACTGGGTCCAGCTGCAGGACCCAAAACAGGGTGGTTACAGCAAGTCAGGCTAAAACTGAGCTTGTTTTACTCGTTAAACGTTCAGCACACTCTGAACATTGGTGCCGACAATTCTGTTTGTTGCAGGTTTTATACTTCTTACAAGTATTTATCTGAAGTATTTATTTGAAGTATTTATCTGAAGTTACTTATCTGAAGTATTTATCTGAAGTATTTATCTGAAATATTTATCTGAAGTTACTTATCTGAAGTATTTATCTGAAGTATTTACCTGAAGTTACTTTTCTGAAGTATTTATCTGAAGTTATTTTATGGAGGTTTTTTTTTACATTTCTTCAGTATTTTGCTACTTTAGCTAGACTTCTGCTACTTTCTACTAGACTTCTGCTACTTTCTACTAGACTTCTGCTACTTTCTACTAGACTTCTGCTACGTTAGCTAGACTTCTGCTACTTTCCGCTAGACTTCTACTTTCCGCTAGACTTCTACTTTCCGCTAGACTTCTGCTACTTTCTACTAGACTTCTGCTACTTTCTACTAGACTTCTGCTACTTTTTACTAGACTTCTGCTACTTTCTACTAGACTTCTGCTACTTTCTACTAGACTTCTGCTACTTTCCGCTAGACTTCTGCTACTTTCTACTAGCCTTTTGCTACTTTAGCTATACTTTTTCTTCTTGAGGACAGACTGATGAAGACAGATTGATGAGGACAGACTGATGAAGACAGATTAATGAGGACAGATCGATGAGGACAGACTGATGAAGACAGGTTGATGAGGACAGATTAATGAGGACAGATCAATGAGGACAGACTGATGAGGACAGACTGATGAGGACAGGTTGATGAAGACAGACTGATGGGGACAGGTTGATGAGGACAGGTTGATGAGGACAGACTGATGGGGCCAGGTTGATGAGGACAGGTTGATGAGGACAGACTGATGAGGACAGGTTGATGAGGACAGACTGATGGGGACAGGTTGATGAGGACAGGTTGATGAGGACAGACTGATGGGGACAGGTTGATGAGGACAGGTTGATGAGGACAGACTGATGGGGACAGGTTGATGGGGACAGGTTGATGAGGACAGGTTGATGAGGACAGATTGAT